CAATAATAATAATATATATATATATATATATATATATATATATATTATAGTAGGACTCCTAGTATAGCTAGTATAAGACTCTTCTTCTATATAAGAAGTATATAACTCAACAAATTTATCATCAATACAGTTCTTGATTTATCTTTACCAAGTTCAAATCCAGTCATTTTTACTAATTAAAAGAGAAACAATTGGGGCTCATAAGTAGACACAACCTTTGAGTATTGCTCGTGCTATTGGTTTATGCATACACAATGATATTAATCAACCTTATGGGTCGTTTGGTAGGTTGCATTAGAAGAAATAGTTCGTAGATTATGTAAGATATTATTTAGTACTATGTTTGATAGGAATTTGAGCTTATGTATAACTAATCCATGAATTAGTTATACCTCCAACATGGTATTATAGGATGTATTACTAATACCTTCCATTTGGAGGTATTAGCTCTAATACCATGAGACTATTCTAGGTAAAGACAAAAATACCTCTCAAATCCTTTTAATATTTTATTTATTTTTTTGATTTTATATTTTATATTTTATATTTATTTTAATAAAGTTATTTAAATAAATTAGCTTAAAAATTTTATTATTTAGATATAAATTTTTTGTTTCTAAAATATGAATTACTTAATCTATTTATTATTAATATAAAATATTATAATCCGAATAATATGTGAATGTTGATGTATGAATTTAAGAACAATTCATAAGTAAAATATTGTCTTTTAATGAAAGTTCATTAAACATTACACAAGAGTCTAAAACAATAGTGTGTGTACATATATATATATACACACACATCTGGAGTATAAAAATAGTTTAATTTATTTTTCTATATTTATTTTATATTTTTATTTTATTTTATGATAAAGAGTTTTTTAAAATTTATTGATACAAAACAAAGTTCAATAAATTTTCTCTATAATCATTATAGTTGTGTGACCTTTTGAGTTATTAACTCTAGTTTATTAAGATGACAATTATTTACTCTCAAATAATTTAAGTGAGAAAATAGTGAACATGACAATAAAAATTTTATTCTCCTAACTTGTTAAAATTGTTATAAAAAATAATATTCTCCGTTAATTATCTATTTTGACTCAATTACATGAAATACAAAATCTCATAATAACTCTAGGGTATAATTTCTTGGAAAGTTTTTTTTAAAAAAAACTTTTAAACCACACACAAAATTAGATAAGAAACAATGAATCAAACACTTGATAAAAATAACCCTTGCATTGCTAATCTCTACATTGCTAATCCCTGCATTATTTATTTTTTACCAAACGACTCCTAAGTATAATCTAGGATAGTTATCCTACGAGGTTTTGTCCTATTTATAAACCTTGGATGGGAGTGAGACATTTATTTATCTTTCTCACTTTTAAGAGGCTATCTCAAAGTTTTAAATATATAATCTCTCTTTCACCAGATCAAAACTTGTTTATCAAAATTCAAAACATAGACAAAACATTATTTTGATCAAATTTTCTGGTAAAAATATTTTTT